CTTTAAGCTCTTCATCAATTCATCCAAATTAGGCCTTAACATGCTTGAATTGCATGAATTATGTTCTCCAAAGCCATCATTGTTACCTAAATCTCAATTAACTGAAAGATAAACACAAAAAGGATTAAAAGCACAAGTTTAACTCAAAAACATAACCAAATCATAAGCTAGAAGGGTACAAAATGATATGTAAATATGCACCGATCAAACTCCACAATACAAGTAGGCACTCTATTAATCAGATAAGCAGCGGACACAAGAGCTTCACCCCAATAAGAGAGAGGGGTATGTGCTTCAAGTAACAAAGCACGAACCACATTCAGGAGATGCCGGTTCTTCCTTTCGGCAACTGTTTGTGCCTGATAAATCACGGCCATGAGCTGGCCGAAGGAGCCCTTTCTCTCGGCCCTGGCGTTTGTTCGCAGAAGCTGAAACGCAGCGTTTCGCCAGGGTATTTCGCCTTCCTAAAAATAAAAAAGGAAATGCGAAATGCTAAGGCATGATCATCTCGGCCTCAAGCATAGGCCGAGGCCGAGGTCGAACAAAATTGCGGCCAAGGCTTTAAAGGCAAATCATCACGTGACAGCAGGGTCCCAGGCTGCATTTAATGAAGTAGTGCCTGTTTAATGCAGCAAAACCCATTGGCCACAAAGTAGCATTTAATGCATGAGGGAAGGTGGGAAGTGACTGAAGTCAGGATTTGGTGATGGAGATCAGAGTGATTAGACGTGGACATTCTCACAAGAATTCTGACAGCCTGAGATGTTGGTTCACCAGCTATCCAGGCCATAAATGCGTCTCCACGGCCAGAGGCTCAGAACCCACGATCAAGAGCGGCGGCTGAGATTCACTGGCCGAGATGCACTTTCAATATCTTTACTTGCTTTCCTAGGAGTAGTGGTAGATTGTAAGGAAAATCCATTCATCAATATATCATACGACCCTTGATTTTCAAGGCACCGGAGCACCACCCTTGTTATTCGTTCACTCACCCCATATATCACACGATCGTCGCTCCCTGAGCAGCGCACCGGAGCACCGCCCAAAACCCACCACCAACACCGTCACTCAACGGCCTTGTAGTTCAGGCCGTGAACCTAACAGACGAGACCAGTTCCTCTCTCGGCTACAATCGTTTGACTAGGAAGACAGATCAAACAGGCGCACCACTTATCCATCCAACACTCATCTGTTTGTGCCTGATAAATCTCGGCCATGAGCTGGCCGAAGGAGCCCTTTCTCTCGGCCCGGGCACTTGTTCGCAGAGGCTGAAACGCAGCGTTTCGCCAGGGCATTTCGCTTTCTTTAAAAGTAAAAGAAGGAAATGCTAAGGCATGATCATCTCGGCCTCAAGCATAGGCCGAGGCCGAGGTCGAACAAAATTGCGGCCAAGGCTTTAAAGGCAAATCATCACGTGACAGCAGGGTCCCAGGCTGCATTTAATGAAGTAGTGCCTGTTTAATGCAGCAAAACCCATTGGCCACAAAGTAGCATTTAATGCATGAGGGAAGGTGGGAAGTGACTGAAGTCAGGATTTGGTGATGAAGATCAGAGTGATTAGACGTGGACATTCT